TGTCCAGTTTCCAGCTTTCTCCACTCTTTATGGCTCAGTATTTTATATATATTATCAATTAACATAAAGTTCTCCACTTCATGTCCAGTTTCCAGCTTTCCCCACCCTTTATGGCTCAGTATTTTTTATATTACCAATTAATATCCTGTGTAACATAAACTGGACTTTGTGTCCAGTCTCCAGCTTTCTCCACTCTTTACGGCTCAGTATTTTATATATTATCAATTAACATAAAGTTCTCCACTTCATGTCCAGTTTTTGGCTTTCCCCACCCTTTATGGCTCAGTATTTTTATATATTATCAATTAATATCCTGTGAACATAAACTGGACTTTGTGTCCAGTTTCCAGCTTTCCCCCACCCTTTATGGCTCAGTATTTTATATATTATCAATTAATACCCCATGAAGATTAAAAGTTCTTTACTTCATGTCCAGTTTCCAGCTTTCCCCACTCTTTAAGGGCTCAGTATTTTTTATATTATCAATTAACATAAATTTCCCCACTTCATGTACCAGTTTTTGGGCTTTCCCCACTCTTTATGGCTCAGTATTTTATATATTATCAATTAACATAAATTTTCTCCACTTCATATCCAGTTTCCAGCTTTCCCTACCCTTCTATGGCTCAGTATTTTTTTATATTATCAATTAATTACCCCATGAACATAAAGTTCCTTTACTTTATCTCCAGTTTCTCTCTGAGCATTGTGTGTCACCACAATTATGAATCCAAAGTTCTTTATTTTGTATCCAGTTTCTCTCTGAGCATTGCGTGCCACCACAATCATGAATTTCAAAGTTCTCCACTTCATGTCCAGTTTCCAGCTTTCCCCACTCTTTATGGCTCAGTATTTTATATATATATTATCAATTAATATACTGTAAACATAAAGTTCTTTACTTTATCTCCAGTTTCCCTCTGAGCATTGCGTGCCACCACAATCATGAATTCCAAAGTTCTCCACTTCGTGCCCAGCTTCCCTCTGACCATTGCGTGCCACCACAATCATGAATTCCCCATCAGAAAACGAACCCAGGACGCCCTGGGTGCCCATCTTACCCATCCAGAAGATTCATGGTGGTGGTGGTCACCTCGGTGAAGAGCAGGACCTTGCCCAGCTTCTTGGTGCGGAGATGCTGCTGGTAGGTGTGGAGGCTGAAGTGCTCTGAGGAGAAGCTCCCCATCTCCGTGACCACGGGCACCAGGGACGGGGTCACCTCCACCCTGGGCTCGCGGGATGGAACGAACTTCAGGGACACCTTGCTGGACGCCCTCAGCCCCTCGGCGTCCACGTTCCCCTCCAGCCACTTCAGGAAAGCGAGGTGGATTTCCTGTGGGCAAGGGCGACAGGATTAGAAAGATCACCCCATGTGAGGACACACCAACATTCTTCCAAAAACGTTTCTATTCGAGCAATCTCCTACTTCAAGACAAAATTTTTCCTCTTCAAAAACAAAGTTTTGTTGCTCGTACTTGACGCTCTCCTAGAGGTGAGCCCACGCTCTTTTGAAGATGAATTAAGTTTAATTTTTCCCTGTGGCGGGGTTTGCAGTGCTCTCCCTACACCCTGGAGCATGGAGTGCACACATTCATCGGCATCTCACAGGTTTCTCACCGTGCTGAGATCCTCTGCTGGAGAAAGGAAACGCTTTAGTCCGGCACTATGGATTTGATTATATTATATATATAATATATAATATATAATATATAATATATAATATATAATATATAATATATAATATATCATACATAATATATAATATATAATATATAATATATAATATATAATATATAATATATAATATATAATATATAATATATATTACACATTATATCTTATATATTATATATAGTATAATATATATTATATATTATATATTTAGTATTTTATATATATATTACAGTATTTTATATATTATCAATTAATCTCCTGTGAACATAAAGTTCTCCACTTCACATCCAGTTTCCAGCTTCCCTCACCCTTTATGCTTCAGTATTTTATATATTATCAATTAATATTCTGTGAATATAAAGTTCTTTACTTCATGTCCAGTTTCCAGCTTTCCCCATCCTTTATGGCTCAGTATTTTATATATTATCAAAACCAATATATAATATACAATATACTATATACTATATGCTATATACTATATACTATATAATATACAGTATATAATATATAATATATAATATATAATATAAAATATATAATATATAATATATAATATATAATATATAATATATAATATATGATATATGATATATAATATATAATATATAATATATAATATATAATATATAATATATAACATATAATATATAACATATAACATATAACATATAATATATAATATATAATATTTGGATTGAGCCTTCTCATGTAAGACACAAAATATGTAATAGGCCAATGTAGTGAGGGATGAAGATCAAGGGGGCAGATATCAGATTCTAGTGGAGATTATTATTATTATTATTATTATTATGTAAAATTCCCAAGCAGAATGATCCCAGTGCTGAGCAGCTCAAGGTTTATCTGGAAACACTCATGAGGAAGAGCTGCTTGCTCAGTCCTTGCAACGTCTCCCAAAGTGATCGGCACATAGGTAACTTTCAGAAAATTGCCTTTTCTGACCCGCAGATGGGGCAGCTGAGAGGTGTTTGAAAAACTTTTATTCCATTTTCAGTCTCATGAGAAGGGCGAGACAATACAGATGTTATCATTCACAATCAGAAGCCAATTATTTCAAAATTAAAATACACTCTAAGCATTTCTTGCCCTATCAGCTTTAGCCACACCTTGCTGTAAATGCCTTAAAACCAAACATCTAAAATTTCCCCTCATGGGTCCCACAATTCACCTTTCACAGTTCTATCTCTCCACACTGTCCAGTCTTATTTACAAAACCATCCTTTGAAACTTGTTTCCAGCTCCATTTCTCCCTCAGCAATGTCTGTCCCGTTCCAGGGCATTTCTCAGTCAGCGTTTCTTGTCTCAAGGTTTGCACACAGATGCACAAACTGTGTGAGCCTTCTGTCAAACTTGGAGAATTCCCTACAAATCCATTTCCCACAACTAAGACTCCATTTGAAGCCTAAACCAGCAGTTTCAAAAACCATTTGCTGATTTCTCAGTGTGTTAGCGTTCACAAACACATAATCACAGGGATTATATGCGGTGCTTTTCATTAAGAGCTCTGGGTGTCAGGGGTGTATTCAACCCAAATCTGACTCCGACCATACATCCGAAATGATCATGTTTTATACTCTATCATTATATAACTTTCATGTTAATTATTAAACTTATATTGTTCTATTGTATGCATAAATTTAGCCCCTCTCTGAATTTCCAACACAGTTTCTCATTATTCTTCTTATGGTTATATAATAATTATATTTAATTACTAAACAATCATCACATCTAACAATTACATAACTTATCACACTGCTTACGCAGGTGCAGCTGATCTGGGAGAGCACAAAGCCCAACATTTCAGATTCTACCTTTAACTTTTTCCAGGGCTCCACTATCAAGTGGAGTATCTGCCAAAGCAGGTCACACCTTCAGCTGAGGGAGATTTACTACTGTGAGTATCCCTGTAGTGACACCCTGCACCAAGTGCTCCCCACTCACCCTTCCTGGAGATAAATTCTGCTGTGAGAGGTTTGATATGACACGTTTGCCACAACTTTAGCCACAAACACAAATCCTGGGGCTTTTTGCTGCTTGAATTTCAGACAGTTGAAGTTGGTTTTTATGTGATAAACGAAACCACAAAAAAATTGTGGCTTCGATTGGACTGGAAATAAGGCACTGGTGATGCTTGCCCTCAGATTTCCAAGCGGACGAGATGTGATTTTTAAACAGAAATGTCCAAACCAAACCCACACCCCTCATTGCCACCGCTGCTGTATCTGGATTTCCACCTCCAGAAATGACCTGCTCTCAAATTTCACAACAGGACACAAAGAAAGGAATAATTTCCCCCAAATTCTGTCCAACATTTAGCTCCAAGCCCCAAGACTAAGAAAAGAATAATTTCCCCCAAATTCTGTCAAACATTCAGCTCCGAGCCCCAAGACTAAGAAAACCTCAGCAGCTAAATTTTATTCGCAGAGAAATTTCTCCTCATATCTTGCCTTCCTAAAGCCCCCTCTGAATATTTTCTGTCCAAACTCCTGGATAAAATATCTTTAAATATTTCCTTCCCCCCCTTTTTTTTTATTTTTTGCTCGGCGCCATAAATGATGATGTGATGCTGATTAAAGGTTTTGTGGGCATTTCTTTTGACTTGCACCTCCACTCCGAGCTTTGACAGAATAAATAAATTCCTCACACGTTATCCTGCTTGTTCTACACACCCGCAGTAACTGATTGGCTGTAGCTGATATTTGGAGAAATTACAGCTCTCATTTCTGTCAGGGAGAACATGGAAAAATTCTGCTTAATCACAGAGCGTTTCCCGACTGCTTTCCAAACACAGAAATCCGCTCAGCGGCACTGGATGTGCAAATCTGACACACACAGAAACAGAATTTTAACTCACCCAAAGTAAAAAATGGGTTTGACTCTCCCAGAATTGACTCACCTCAGGCTGGGGTTGCAGTCTGACAGAAATCAAGTCATTTAATCTCCTAAAAGTTAATTTAATCTCTATAAAAGTTCCAGAATTTTACAGAAACAGAATTTTAACTCACCCAAAGTAAAATCTCACCAAGAATTAACTCTCCTAAGGCTGGGTTTGCAGTCTGACAGAAATAAAGTCATTTAATCCCCTAAAAATTAATTGAATCTCCCTAAAAATCACAGAATTTTACAGAAACAGAATTTTAACTGACCCAAACTTAAAACTGGGTTTAACTCTCCCAGAATTGACTCACCTCAGGCTGGGTTTGCAGTCTGACAGAAATAAAGTCATTTAATCTCTCTAAAAAATCACAGAATTTTACAGAAACAGAATTTTAACTCACCCAAAGTAAAATCTCACCAAGAATTAACTCACCTCAGGCTGGGTTTGCAGTCTGACAGAAATTAAGTCATTCAATCTCCTAAAAATTAATTTATTCTCTCTAAAAATTTACAGAATTTTACAGAAACACAATTTTAACTGACCCGAAGTTAAAACTGGGTTTAACTCTCCCAGAATTGACTCACCTAAATCTGGGTTTGCAGTCTGACAGAAATTAATTACAAAATAAAGGTGACTGAAGTGCGATGACACCGTAAATAAATAATAATTCTGATGTGCTTTTGCCACGGAATATTCTCTGTGAAGAACAAACCAGCAGCTATTCCTGTGTGCCGTTCCATTATTACAAATATCCCAACCATTTACTCTCCTGAGTGCGTTATTTTAAATTATTTTTTCCCGTAGATTTTAGGCAAACTCCTTGTTTTCACTGCTCCCACCACACCCTGAAGCGTTTGAGAATTGTTATTTGTGTGTAATTCTCAAGCTGATTTCCCCCACAGTGTCCATGTTACTGAGCGGATCAAAAATATAAACACACAATCAAGGAGGGGGATTTTCACAAATTCCTAAGAAAATATGGAAACAGATTCCTAAGATAATTCCTAACAAATTCCCAAGAAAATTCCTTACAAATTCCTAAGAAAATTCCTAATAAATTCCCAAGAAAATTCCTTACAATTTCCTAAGAAAATATGGAAACAGATTCCTAAGATAATTCCTAACAAATTCACAAGAAAATTCCTTACAAATTCCTAAGAAAATTCCTAATAAATTCCTAAGAAAATATGGAAACAGATTCCTAAGAAAATTCCTTACAAATTCCTAAGAAAATTCCTTACAAATTCCTATGAAAATTCCTAATAAATTCCTAAGAAAGTATGGAAACAGATTCCTAAGAAAATTCCTTAAAAATTCCTAAGAAAATTCCTTACAAATTCCTAAGAAAATTCCTAACAAATTCCCAAGAAAATTCCTTACAAATTCCTAAGTAAATTCCTTACAAATTCCTAAGAAAATTCCTAATAAATTCCTAAAAAATATGGGTTTAGGTGTTTAACAAAGTTTCAGGTACTGGTCACAGTAAACAAATTAATTTTTTATTTTTCTTTAAGAATTTCCTTCATACAAAGTTGCAGAAACAGGGATGCTGAACACGCCACAATTATTCTGGCACAGAAAAAATGACATTATTGTATAAAGAAATGAAGTTATGTGTAAACTGAATTTACATATAATATATATGTAAATTAAGTAATATATATACTTATAATATATATATTATACTTAAAATATAGATATTTTATAAATATTAATATAATATAATATAATATATAAATATAAATATAAATATAATATATAAA